GGGGGGGGGTAGCAAGTGTGTAGCAGCGAAGGTCAGAATTTCTGAATTCAACAATTATTTAGTTGTTACACTCCATAGTTCCAGTAGTTTTTAAAAATATATATAGACAACGTACGTTGTGAAAATCCAAATTTTTTGTGCACCAATAACAGAAGGAAATTGTGTGCACCAATGTGCACCAAAGAGGGATTATTGGGGAAGTTGTGCACCAATTTGTGCACCGATTGAAGCCTTTGTGAAGCCTTTGTGAAGCCACATCGCCTTCATTCCATACTGGCACCCAGCCATTTCATCAGTTTACTCTAACCAGACAATTTTGCTCATCAAGGCAAGGACAGATCTCACTATAATCAGGGCTTCAAATTTCAAACATTTTCTAGGGGTCCAATGATCCAAAGTAGCCAAGACAATCAAATCAAGTGGAGATCCCATCATCTCGACATCAATATAATGCTGACTGCCGAGGTAACATCTTGACGTGTACACTTTTCAATCTCTCAGACACACACAAGGATCTTACTAATGGATATTTGGATATCAGTAGCAGGCTAAAATTGAAGCCAGTTATCAGCTATCAGTGTGATATTTTTCCAGCCAAAAAATAAGGCCAAAATCATAATTAACACCATTCAAATCCTAAGATCCCCATCTGGCCATCTTAAATTTTAAGATCGCCCATACATCTTTGAACAAATTTTATCTATGCTGATTCCTGCAATACTTTCAAAAACCTAAATATCCGCAAACTATACTGCACCTTTCAAACAGGATCGATGTTTATAAAACGGCAAAATATTTCAAAACTAAAATACAAAATATCATGATAGCATATTAAAAAATTTTATACAAACCTGTTTCACAATTGCATTTAACTGCGGTTCTGCACCGATTACAGCGTCCATCCTACAACTCGTACTTCAAAACACGGGCTTTAATTTTATCCTGGTTCACTGATCATCTAGAGCTGTATATAAGGAGTATTTTTATTTTTTTATAGTAACTAAGCGCTATAAACAATTGCGTTGTTTTCGTCGCCATCTTGAAATTCGTACCAAAAGACTGGAAACGACAATACTGTTTGTCAATTTTACCCCAACCTCGTCCCCAGGGTCTTCCTCGTGGTGGCGCGTGAGCTGAGGAAGACCCTGGTAAAATACGATGAAATCTCCAAGATTCTTGGAGATTTA